GGGGAAATAGGCATTTTGGGGAAGGAGGACTGGCAGTTTGTTAGAGGGGGGAAGTAGGGGGGATCCCCTTTTTTGTTTTTTTTTCCCCTCTCTCTTCCTTCTCCTTATGGTATCTCTTGTAGAGATTTGTGTTTAAGAGTTCGGTGGAAATCTATTGAGCTAATTAGATAGGAGGGTAACTGGGGAGGTTGGAAGGAGGGAGAGCCGTTCATGGGCGGAGTTTAGCCCCAAGGGTGGAAGCAAAAGTGGGTTTGGTCCCACAAATGATTAGTAGGCAAATTAGAGGCCTAAAAATGGGTAGGGTAGTAAAAGGGGGGGAACGGGGTGGGGGGGGAGGGAATGGACTGGGAGAGGGGTAGAATAGGAAGGGGGGTGGGAGGAGGGGGGGAGGGGAATTAAGGCTAACACTCTGCATGATGAGAGAAGGTATAAAAGTAAAGAGTGAGGAAAAGAGGGGATGGAGGTGAAGAAAAGAGGCATAAAAAAGATGGAAGAACTACAGTTTATAACTTATAATGTAAATGGGTTGAATTGTCCTGGGAAAAGATTTAGGTTATTTAAGGAATTACAACACAGGGCATCCTGTGGAGACACACTGCGATAGAGTCAAATGTTAAGTTGAATTCTAGATATTATCCAACGTGGTATTATGCAGATTCCCCAATTAAGAGAGCAAAGGGAGTGGCAATAGGGTTTGCAAAGAACGTAAGGTTTGAGTTGGAGGATAGAAAAACGAATCCTGAGGGAAGGTTTTTATTTTTAAAAAGGTAGACTACAAGAAATTGAGTGTACAGTAGCTAATATTTACTGTCGAAATAGGAGACCGGAGATATATTTGAAAGGTGTATTGAAAAAATTGATGGACTTTAAAAAGGGGCGCTTGATAGTGGCTGGGGACTTCAATTTCTGTATGGATCCACAGGTGGATGCAACCTCTTCTGTGCGGAGAGAGGGAGGTGAGTCTCTGAGATCCTTGAAGGCCATACATGAGTGCCAACTGGTGGACATCTGGAGAATTACACATGGGAAGGATAGAGACTATACCTTCTTCTCTAATGCACACAAGATGTATTCAAGATTGGATTATATATTTGTAGATCAACTTATTGAGTCTTTGGTTAAAGTAGAAATAGAAGCAATGTCCTTATCGGATCATGCCCCTGTTATAATGAAATTAGGGTGGGGAAGGCGGACGACAGGAGGTTTAGGATGGAAGTTGAATGAGGCACTTCTCCTGGACAAGGAGACTGATCAGAAGATTAGGGAAGAGATTGAGCAATTTTTTTTTAGGGAGAACAAGACAGGAGACGTGTCGTGGCTACAGTGTGGGAGTCCCATAAGGCTTACATAAGAGGAATACTGATTGCAATCGGGGCAAAAAAGAAGAGGGAAAGAAGAGAAACTCAGTGGGCTTTTAAAGGAAATATTTGATTTGGAACAGATACAGAAAAATAGAATAACAAAAGAGATAAGACAGAAGGTAATAAAAAAAGAAGGAAGAACTAGAGATTTTGATGGAAGAGGAGAAGAGAAGAGCCTTTATTAAAGTGTTGAGTGAGAGGTATAGCTGGGGAGATAGACTGGGAAAGTACTTAATGAGAGCCCTGAGGAAAAAGAAAAATAGGAATTATATAGAAAAAATAAAAAAACTCCAAGGGAGAATTGGTTCATTCAACTAAAGAGATTGCTAAGGTGTTTAAGGACTATTACAGTAAGTTGTATAATATTAGCTCCCATGACCCTTTAAATAATACTGGAAATGTGTATATTGAAAAAAGGATATATCTAAAAAACTTGGGTCCACCGAAATTAAGCGAAGAGTAATTGAATTCCCTAGATTCAGAGATTACACAGGAAGAAATAAAAGCAGCATTGAAAAGTACTACGATGGGAAAAAACCCAGGGCCAGATGGCTACACTGTGAGGTACTATAAAAAATACAATGAATTGTTAATACCTAAATTGAAGATATACATGAATGCCTTGGGGGGGGGAGATGGAAATGAGGTGAAAATCTCTACAGGCCCATGTGGTGCTTATCCAAAAGGAAGGAAAAGATGCTTCTCAGTGTTCTAGCTATAGACCAATTTCATTATTGAATACAGATACTAAGTTATATGCAAAGGTCTGAGCAAATAGGCTGAAAGATTTAATGCCCGAATGGATACATGGAGATCAGGTGGGATTTGTTCCGGGGAGGGAGGGCAGAGACAATGGGTTGAGATCTTTGTTGCTCATTCAGAAAAGTAGAAAGGGAAAAACTCCGGTGGTGGTGCTTTCAATCGATGCCGAAAAGGCATTTGATAGAGTTGACTGGGGCTTCATGATGGACACTCTGGAAGCCCTGGGGATGGGAGTTAGAATGAGAGAGTGGATAGGAAAGTTGTATATGTGCCCATCTGCAGTTATTATGGTAAATGGGGAGACATCGGAGCCAATTGGGATGTCAAATGGAACAAGACAGGGTTGCCCATTGTCCCCACTGTTGTATGTTCTGTCACTGGAATCTTTGTCATCAATTAGGAAGAATATAAATATAAAGGGAATTCAGATAGGAGGTATAGAACATACAGTGGCTGCCTTTGCGGATGATCTGTTGTTTTATGTGGGAAACCCCAGGATAACACTCCCAAATTTAATGAAGATATTGAAGGAATACGGAAAGCTATCAAACTTAAAAATCAGCCCAACAAAAACTGAGATCTTAAATATAAATCTTTCAAATAGTGAAAAAGAAAAGATACAAAAAGAATTCCCCTTTATATGGAAAGATAGAGAAATAAAATATCTAGGGATAAAACTCACAGCTTCTTATAAGAACCTGTATAAATCAAATTACATCCCATTGTTAAATGAGATTAAGGAGGAATTAAAGAAACTAGGAAAAGGAAACCCATCTTGGATAGGACTCATAAATCTGATAAAAATGGTAAATGTACCCAAAATCCTATATAAATTTCAAATGATCCCAATTAAACTCCCAGAGGTTTTCTTTAAGGCAAATAAAAAAATAACAAGACATATGTGGAAGAATAAAAAAACCTAGAACAGCTTATGAATTATTAAGTAGAAATAAAGAGAAGGGTGGATTGGGTGTGCCAGATATTAAGAGATACTATAGAGCAGTTGTTTTAGCGAAAATGTTTGACTGGACGCAGAATCCAAAAGGAAAAGGTTGGGTTAAAATTGAAAATGAACTTAGTGGAACTAATTTGAACAAAATCATATGGGTGCCAACACAATATAGAGGATTAAACGTTTGCACAAGTTTATATACTTTAAATGTTTTAACGGTGTGGGATATATTGCACAAACATATGAAGTGGGATTTTAATTTGTTTTTAATGCCACTGAGGAACACAGAGTTTTTTCCTCCAGGTAGAGCGGAGAGATTACAGGAAAATGGTTTAAGAAGGAGGATGTCCAGTTGAGAGATATAATGGTGGGGGGGGAATTGAGAACACTTAAGGATTTGGAAAAGGAAAAGGGAGAAATTTTTACTAAGATAGACGAGTGGCGGTATCACCAATTAAAACACTTTGTTGGGAATCTTCCGAAACCCTTGAGACCTAGAAAGGATTGGAATTTGTTTGAGAGGTTTTTGGAATCACGGGGAGATGGGAAACACGGTACTGCTAAAATATATAAGATTCTCACTGAATTAGACACAAACACAAAGCCAATGTATATAGAGAAATGGGAAAGAGATTTGGGGGTTGGGATAGAAGAGGTTAACAGAAGAAAATATATAGATTAACTCACGAGAACATAAGTATGCAAGAGGTGGAAATAAATTATAAGTGTTTGATAAGATGGCACATTACACCGAATGTTGAATATAAGATGAGTGGGGAGAATTCACCGTGGTGTTGGCGGGGGTGTGGAGAGAGAGGCACGGTATATCACATATGATGGGAGTGTCCAAAAAATTCAAGTATTTTGGAAGATAATAGTTCATTTAATTGGGATGATTACTGGGACGAATATGGGATTGGATCCAGAGACTTACCTATTACATAGTACAGAGTTATCAGTGAATAAATACAAAGAATCGGGTATATGGTACTATTTAAATGCAGCAAAAGGTTTGATACCCAAGTTTTGGCGTAAGATAGAGGTGCCGAAGGAAGAAGATTGGGTAGATAGAGTGAACCAGATTTGTAGGATGGAGAAACTTTATTATATGCAGGAAGACAAGATGGAGCTATATTATGTGAAATGGAAAAAATGGGAAGAATTTGTACTGAAGGTTAAAGATACAAAGCTTTGGGGTGTGATATGTGAAAGAGCCTCTTACTTTTGTAGGGAAGATGCTGAGAAATGCAGGGTGGGAAGTATGGAGAGGGGGCGGGGGGAGGGAGGGATGGATGGAAGGGAATTTAGTTGGGTGGGGGTGGGAAAAAGATATAGGAGGGGAAAAAGAGAGAAAAATATTGGTTTTGTATGTTTTATGAGAATATGAAGGAAATATGTAATTTTTTGTATCTGAAAACTAATAAATATTTAAATTTAAAAAAAGGCACTGAATATTATGCTTCTTCACAAGTTCACTTGGTTTACTTTTCAAAGTTTATGTTCATTTAATTTAAATAGGGAAAAAACTGTGTTCACTTAGAATATTCAATCGTGTGCGTGAAAAATGTACAATACAACATTTTTTATTGCACCTCATTAACTATGCTAGATGAACATTTACTTTAAGTGAATACGTTTTATTCCTGCAGTAAAATTGTTTGTTCACTTTTTAATGTAAAGCAATTTACAAATATAACATTTATATTGAAAAATGGTAAATTGCACCTGTTGACATGAGCTCAGAAAGGAATACACACCCTTATATGTCAAATGTATAGCAAAAATGATATAATGCCCAGAAAAGAAAAATTTCACATGCATTACACCAGTATACTACAAAGAGTACAAAACTGCATTGCTTTTTATGTTCTCTGCACCTGAGAAAACACCATGTGGGGTAACTTGCTGTTTTCTTGTTCCCTCAGATTTCAGCTCTTTCTGATCCAACATCACCTGCGGATCAGCAACTATTCTGTAGTGGGCAGCAAACAGGACACAACCACAGGAGAAAGAGCAAGCACAGAGTCCCATCTCCACCATTTGCTCCTCATGAAACTCGGGCATACCAGCTGTACACACTGTACAGGGGAAAGGATGGCAAAGTTATGCAAGTAATGTCATATAGTCCAGGATACTATTTGTACAAAATGAATAAATTACATTAAAACCAAAAACATGCAGCTTATAACACAGTGAAAATGAGTTTTTACTTAACTTCATTTTTTCAAATAGTTTATCCATTTTGAGGAAAATTCTTCATGTAATTCTTTTTTTTTTTTTTTCTTGTCCAGTGTACATTAAGGCCTTGTTCACACAAGCGTACTACAATATACACCTGTGTGAGGGCCATGTTTGCCTGCACAGGGCTGCACAGGTGTTCCTTGCATCCTCATGCAGGGAGTTCCATTCATGTCATTTGGGAAACGGGCTGCCTTAGGGCCCCTTCAAACGGTCTCCATGCAGCTTTATGCTCTATAGGCAGACTGATATAAATCGACTTACATCCGTTTACACCCACCTACCTCCGAGTCCGTCCAGGCCCAGAAAAGAAAACTGAAAAGGACTGTGTCCTTTTACATTTTTCCAGACCCAAATATGATGGATCAGAGGTAGCCTGATGTAAACGAATACCATTCCATTTACATCCAGCTGTCCATAGAGCTATTACAGGTCTGCCTATGTCTGCTGGGCACAAACTGAATGGATATAAAAAAGTTGACATCCCTCCCATCCAGCTCTGACTTAGTAGGAGATCCGCTTATGGATCCCCAGCTTAACAGAGTGGAATGGCTGTGTTAAAGAGCCCTTAGGCCATATTCACATGGGCGTACTTAAAGTGACACTAAAACTGTGGGGCTTTTTTTTCTAAAATAACAAACATGTCTCTACTTACCTGTTCTGTGCAGTGGTTTTGCACAGAGCAGCCCCAATCGTCTTGGGTCCCCATCGGTGATCTTGGCTCCTACCCCTTGAGCAGTGCCCCCAAAGAAAGTGTGTTCGTCCCCGAGCTGCTGCTCTATGCGTCCATAAGACACAAAGAGCTGGGGCTCGGCCCCACCCCCCAGTCTCTCTTCATTGGTTCACTTGCTGTGATTTACAGCAGCGGGAGCCAATGCTGTCTTAACCAATGAGGAGGAAGTGTCCCCAGACAACAGAGACTGTCGAGAATGTCGCTGGATTGGAGGGGGCTCAGATAAGGATTGGGGGAGGGGGGCAGTCATGTAGGTAAAAAAAAAAACCTTGAGCCTCCAGAACCACTTTAAGTGTAAACCTGTGTTGGTTTTCTTCATGAGATGCACAGGTGTTCCGTGCTTCCACTCCACATGTAGGCAGTCCCTTTTGTGTCAATGCCAAGGACACAGCGGCTGTGTCCCAGTTTAACATCCCTGTGGGTGTGGGTTTCTGAACGCACACTGTCTGCAATCAGGGACCCGCACCCACATGGATGTCAAATTGGGAGCAGTGGCTCCGTCTGTGCAGCCGCTGCATTCCAGTTGACAAGAATGGGACTGCCTGCATGCGGATGCATGGAACACATGTGCATCCTGTGCAGGCAAAACACAGCCTTTACACTTAAGTACGCTCATGGATGAAGCCTAACTTTGATAAGAAAGCTATATAACAGAAAACATACAAAGAGGCAGCTAGAAAGGACACATGCTCATGATCTGAAAACATCTGGTAAGAATGCATTAAAATATTTGATTATATGTTGTCTGTAGGCTCCCATCAATGGTTGTCGCTGTGAGCCACTCATAAGTAAGCTGGAGAACCAATTGGAAGCCACCAAGGAGGAAATAAAAGCTGAGATTGGCACTGTGCAAGATCAAATGAATGCAAAACTGGGGCAGATGGACAGTAAAACCCAGCACCAGGTGCGATGCTTTGCTAATGTACCCATTCCTAAGGATTTAATTAACATTAATTAATTAACAATTAGGTATTTGGTATTGATTGTGTTTTGCAGTTATTGAATACTGAAATCATTTAGCATACACCAAGTCTGAACAAAATCCTGTAGTACACAGTATCTCACTCCCTTCCTTATTGATCTGTGTTTAGCTGCGGGTCTTGGACAAGTTAATGATGGAGCGGATGTCTGCAGAGAGGGCGGAATGTATCTGCCGCCTCCAGCAACAGTCTGAAGTGCAGAAAAATGAAGCTGAGAAACGCCAGGTATAAAAGTCTTATAGCTATTTGACTCTCTTCGGTTGTAGTGCCATAAGAAGTTTACGTAGATGCTGAATACAAACAAAATTGCCATGATTTATTCAAAAATATATTTTATTCTTACCCAAAACTACATGATCTGAATTGTACTTGTCTGCAGTTTGTATAACACGGGTTGGCTTTTTTAGCACTCAAGCTGTAGTGAAACGGTAAATCCCATCATGTCTCTGCCTATGAGTGTCATGCCTCTGGCTGTCAATCTTGCAGTACCTCATAGAATTTGTAGCTTCACTACAGCTGGAGTTCCAATGTTGCCTATTTCTAGTATAATGCTTGCAATATGTTGTACTGTTACATTTGTATGGGGTTAAGTATTTGCTGCAAGGTTCCTTGAGGAATTGATATGGATTAGGCAGGACTGTAAATCTGGAAAATGTCAGTAATTTCTCTTATTCCAATCTGATATACCAAAGATAAACTAGCATTGCACTTCTTAAGGAAAGTAATGGGGAGCTCTCACACCTTGTACTGAATAGTGGGTGAGTGTATTTGGTGTTGTGAGGATATTTTAGAGTATGATAAGATTATATTTCCCCCATGAATGGTCAGATTTAGTCAAAAGTATCATTCACTGATCAAATTTAAAATAAAAAAAAAAGATCATAAACACAACTGTGTTATGAATGCAATGTATATAGCCGGGAATTTTGTAGACCTGGCCCAGAGACTCTTGTTGTTGAGTATGCCTGCTACGTCTCCAGACTGCTGGGAGCTGCCTTCACTTCCTCAATTCAATCGCTAAGTATGATACAGCTCTGTGTAAGGAGTAGGGCTGTAAAATGTAAATTCAGGCCTCCAGCACACTAAAAAACAGTACTAGAAGCGGGCACACTGGGCCGCTTCTCCACTGTACTCTAGTCCATTTCTAGGAGGAAATATCAGTCGGGTAACATTTCTTTAGATTGTATCATGTACTCACTGTTGGTATCAACTCTGGGAAGGTAGGTTCTACCGCTGATTGTTTGCCAACTCTCCCTTAGCAGTCACCTCCTACGATTTAGGAACAGCCCGTTCTGTACCCGATAGGCCTCCAAGAGTCTTCAGCATCTCGCACAGCCTGCTCATCACTTCCTGAACTCTCTATATATTGGGCCAATGATGGGAGCTCCCACAGAAGTAAGGAGAGCTCATGTCCACCTAACACTGAAAGGGGAAGCACATGCTTCAGTGTGATCTAAGGTTACATTCAGGTCAAAACAACATGTCAGACTATGCAAAGATTTTGGAAAGGGCTTCCATCTCTGGATAGTACAACTTTTATTTTTGTGGGTCCCTCTGAAAGAGGTCTGAGAAGAGTTTTGTAGGTTTTTGTACTCCGTGCTCCTCTGATAGAGGTTTGATTACATTAAATATATCTTTTGGTGGAACTACATGTCCTAGCATTTGTATTATATCTAGTTGCCCCACAAAGGAGAGGAGGCAGCAGGACTGGGAGTATGTTATCTGTATTGTCACTACTGTCCCTGTTATTGTCACAATTACCTGTTTGTTACTTGCATGTTGTCATATTTGGCCATTTGTTGCCCTTATATTATCATGATTGCCCATTTGTTGTCTGTGTGTTGTTATGAATATAAAGTAAATTGGTGCAGCTCTTCCCCAATCATACACTACTCCTAAAGTAGCTTAACTCAAAAAACATCATATATATATAAATATACAAATACATGATGTACCATACAAATATATAAAGAACTAAGGTAAATAAAATAGAATACACAGAAAAACAGTATACATCATCCAATCATGATCTAATGGCTTGTAATCGCCAAAAATATATATGTGACTAATGTATACCAGCAGTGAAATTCAGTGAATACAATAAACAATCACTCACAAATCATAAAGTGAACTGATCCACTCAGGGATCCATGGTGAGACCAAAATGTGAATTAATAGTGTATTAATAACGCCAGTGATAGGAGTATAAAGGAAAAAAATAAAAAGTCTTAATGGGACTCCAAATGTATGAGCCAAAATAAACTATGATGAAACTCAGATTAACATATAATGTGAATCCCTGAAATGTGGGATCAATTTTCACACTGATAATTTTGGTGACCAAGAGGCTATAAGTAGCCAAAAGAAATTGTGAAAAGTAGTGAGAATAGATAAGTGAATCCCTGAATGTGGGATTTAATATATTATCACACAATAGTGATAAGTGTGGTTAAAAAAAAACAAAATCAAAACCATATATAGGTGATATCACAACTAAGGTGATGTTCAAAAAAAGACGACTATAAAAGTGTCACATAAAAAATGTCCAGGAAAAAATAAAGTTCAAAGGTGCATTGAAAACACCAAATATTCCAACGGATTAAATAGTGCAGGTGATCCTTTTAAATTCATGTTTATGTTGGTGTTGCACCAGAGCAGGACTCAATTCTAACACCGGTCTCTGCATCCAATAATAGCTCTGTTTCAGGCCCGTGACAGCCTGCCTAAGGCACATATTTCGGCAACAAGTAAGTAATTAATTAGTTATCCAAAACTGTTATTCGAAACCCGTAAGCCTATATAAAGGTCCTCCTTTCACCCTTGAAAGTAAAATAAGTGAATAAACCCTTTTAAGTGCTATACATATATATCCTCCAAAAATTGTTCAAATAATAAGTGAAAGTCCATAAAGTTCCAATCTTTTCAAAAATTACCACCAAGTGTCCATAAATAATAAAGTCACTCAAAAATTTCGGTCCAAAAGGAAAAATTCATAAATCTTTCTGCAGAGCCCTCCGAATTGCTCCAAAGAATACGTAAACCTCAAAACAAGAAAAAAAACTCAAAAGTGCATCAGTCACTCCAAATGAAAATGTGACCACATATGTAATTGTGAACACTTGTGCAACAGTGATAGTGGAACACACTGTGAATCAGAGATTCTTTTTTTTTTTTTAAATTTAAATATTTATTGATTTTCATTTTAAATACATTTCATCATCATAATATACAAACATATATATATTTATACATTATATTATCCAACATTTCCACTTTATTTACTCTATTCCAACAACTTCCCCCCCCCCCTCCTCCACCCCCGCCCTAATACCATCTTCCTACTTTTCCTTTCCTCTGCATCATTTTATCTCAGCAAGTGCAATTTTCCTGTTATTTTCTTTAATCTTTCCTATATTTCATATATAACTTAGCTTTTTCCCAGTTCTCCCATTTCCTATTATAGATCTCCATCCTATCTTCCTGGGCATGACACAACCTTTCCATCTTTTTAATCTGCTCAACTCCTTCAATCCAGTCTTCTTCCTTCGGCACCTCTATTTGCCTCCAGAACCTGGGTATCAGAGCTTTTGCAGCATTTATGTAGCACCATATCCCTGATTTTTTATATTTATTAACTGATATATCCATGTTATGCAAAATACACACTTCTGGGTCTAAGCCAATGTCTATTTCTGTTATTTTTCTTATCAAATCGGTTATTGTCTTCCAGAATGCCTGAATTTTTGGGCAACCCCACCATATGTGATATGTTGTGCCTATTTCACCACATCCCCTCCAACACCACGGTGAACTCTCTACACACATCTTATTTTCAACGTTTGGTGTAATGTGCCATCTTGTCAAACACTTATAGTTCATCTCTACTTCTCTCATAGAAATGTTTTTGTGGGTTAATCTATAAATTCTCCTCTGCTTCTCCTCATCTATCACGCTTCCCATATCAATTTCCCATTTTGTTATATATGTTGGCTTTGTGTTTGTATCTACTTCAGTGAGTATTTTATATACCTTGGCAATCCCGTGCTTCCCATCACCTTGTGTTCCCAAAACCTTTTCAAACAAGTTCCAATTGTCTCTTGTCCTTAAAGGTTTTGGCAAACTTCCAACAAAACTCCTCAATTGAAAATACCGCCACTCGTCTAATTTAGTGAAAATCTCACCCTCTTTTTTTTTCAATTCCCCGAATGATCCTATTTTATCCCCCACCAAAATATCTCTTACTTGGACCTCTTCCTTTTTAAACCACCTGCCACCTATTTCTTCTCTGCCCGGGGGAAAAAACTCCGTGTTTTTTAGTGAAATCAGTGTTGAATTAAAAGTCCATTTCAAACTTTTGTGTAAATTATCCCAAATTTTTAAAACATTCATAGTGTATGTATTTACATTATCGTTTAAACCCCTATACTGTGTTGGTACCCATATCACCTTACCCAAATCGAATCAGAGATTCTATACAGATAAACTTTCCTGTGACATTCAGTGTATACTTCTAAAGTGTCTCAATATAATACCCTTACCATATAAATTATAAAAGCATACTTTTACACCAGAAGAGGGTATATAGCTGTATTGTTGTATTGTCCACCTGGATGCCTTCAGATCCTCAGTATATATACTCCATTGTACCCATGTTCCATAGTATACATAGGAAAAAGGAACAGACCCATATAGTGTAATTCTGTTTGAAATTGCAAAAAAAAAAACACTTTTAATGGTTACTCTTACATTATATCAGCATAAAAACCGCATTATTCCCATGACTCCAACCTTGAAGCAGCTTCCAGGAACACCAGGTAAAGTTTTCCCACTTTCAAAATGGCGGCTCCGCTACTTCCAGTCCTCTGGGTAACATCCGACGTCAAGTCCCTTGACGCGTTTCATCACATCATTGTACCAGATGAAAATGTTCCTTCATGCAAATATTCTGCCAATAGAATGTTTGAGATGCTCTTAAAGGTGGTCTTTACCCTTGCAGGCCCAGCTCTGCAATCAGCTATTACTGCAATTTCTGTATGCCGAACGTAGCTAATTGGACTAGGACAAGGAACAACCAACACAACCCTGTCTTTCAGCACCATATTTTAACTGAGCAGTTACAACAGTTACCTCCTCCTTTGCTCTTTCAGGCTGTAGCTGTGTCACATGCATGACCATTAAAAGTGGATGTTTGTTTGATGAGACACTTGATTTATTGTAGATGTCAC